CGGCATACGGTGACGTCTCCATATGAGTGAAAAATTCTCGAGAGGGACATTAAACAATATATAATCAATCAATCAATCCTTTACATTCCATAACGATTCCATTTCATGTATTTCCCTGTTCTTTTTCTTTCTGTATCTTTCAATGTTTTCATTTGTCCTCCCTCTGATCTGACCATTTTTGAGAATCCCTTTGCACTGTACCAAAAATGCAAAACCACCAGTTCTCCTCTTCCGGAACAACTTTTTGTGGCACAGAATGGTCTTTTCAAAAATTTCAGAAATAAAAAATAAAATAATTCTTAAATCACTTCATATTAAAATCATAAAAAGCATTTTTTTTTATTTTGACAATTGAATTTTTAATGTTTAAATAGTAATATTCATGAATTCAAATTGCCAAAAATTAAAAAGATTCCGACTCAAATATATTACTTTTTGACAAAAGAAATTACAGACAAGTAGAGAAGTAATGATGTTAAGCAGTGATTCTGTGGTCATACACTATTGATCTGAGATCTTTGAAGTCGATATTTGGGTTGTTGTTTGGTCAGAGCAATGGCATGAATAATCCTCTTACAATAATTCGTAGTCAACTGAAAACGGTCTTGTAAGATGATCTGTAAGTTCAAGGATAGCGAATCCTTTAGATGACGTCATTGAATTACATTCATGTAATTTATACAATCCTCTGAAGTGATGCTGTGCTGCTGATGTCACATGTAGTCTACCATATTTTTTGCGAACATTGGGTGTTCAATGTTAATTATTTATGTTTTATAGATTAGATACGGCGCTGTGCGTAACATTTAAAGCTCTTGCAATTGTAGATTGTAGTACCCCTGCTTGCAATCACCCATTTTCCTTTTTGTGCCATGAAGCATTCAGATGCAGCATTTTTAGGAAGCGTCCTTGTCCAATTAAAATCAGATTCAAAATATCGAGAACCCCTGCTTTTGACAGACTCTTTTGTACCTGAAGGAATTGCATCAGAATTCATCAATTGAAAATTGAGATCAAAATTTTAGGGTAAAATTTGCAAAATCAGGTCTTCTTTGTCTGTGAGAATTTTATTATAGATGTAAAGTTAACAATTGCATTAAAAATCATGCATTTCATTCATCATATCCAAAAAAAAATAAAAGGTATGACAAAACTATCATACATTTTTCAGGGCATTGTTCCTACTATGCATTTCTTTTTTTTTTTTTGAAGAGTATACTTATTATATTGGTTCATGTACAATATACGTCTCAAAGTCTATACAATATTACATTTTTTTAACCAAAGTCTTGGCTCCAATATATATGTTATATCTTATAATATTGCATAATTAGATATACTATCTAACGTGGAACAGCCCAAAATAATACTAAGTCATGGATCATGAATGATTGCAGAAGTATTGTATCTTGATGAAGGGGTTATCCTGTTACATATGAAAAAAACCATTTCCATTTATTCGAGTTTTATTTTCTTAATAATGTTTTTAATGCTTGTGAAAATATTGCAATGTTTCTAACATTTAATGGAAGAGAAACTTTCCTCTCTATTTATTGGTAGCTAGGCACAGGATCAGTATTTAAGTCGATAATCATTAGTTAGGAGCTTTTATGAAAATAATGCTTGTTATCTGTTTAAGATAGACATAAAATGAAAAGGCGCAGTTTTACTTAAGCAGGGTTCTCCATGAGCTGTTTTAATATGTTGCTCCCGACACAGTAAAACTTTTTCCGACACAGTAACGATTCAGATTTCATGCATGCGACACAGTAAAAATTTTGCCGACACAGTAAGAGTTGCGATTATTAGAAAATCTAAACACACAAATTCTCTCTTACTGAAACTTAAAGCCATATATGGCGTATGTACAATGAAAATTATTAAGACTAATATCATAAGAACTTTTTGTTTGTATCATTACTTTATATAAAGATAGAACTTTTCCGAAAATTACTAAATATAAGTCAATTGCATTATAAAGATAGCACATTTTCATTTGGATTCTCGGAATTTTCTCCGGCTCGGAAGAAAATACAAAAGATTTAATAACACATTGCATAGAAGATAAAATCGTATGATTAGTTGAAACGAGGTGTTCTCCGTGTCCAGAATTGTATGAATAGTTTTAATTTAAATGTATTAACTATATTTCTTTACTTAATTCTGTATTATTTAAAATTGTATTGTTTGATCAGTTACGCCATATATGTCTTTAAATCAAACAACTCTACCGTCTTTCATTTTGAAAAGTTATAACACTCATTACTAGGGCTTCAACTTGAATAATTAATCAATTATCTCCTTCACCCTCGCCGGACTTTATGCATGACGGAACAAAGACAATTAAATTCTTTTCACAATTCAATGTACTGGTTTATTTGTGGTTGCAGTTTCAGTTTGTTGGTAGTTGAAATAAAACACACTGTATTATTTATGAAAAATATTTTAAAAGTCTTTTCTATAGATCGCGAGTCACGGCTCTAGAATTATGTAAAGACTTCAAGTCAAATATAACATCGCACCGAAGTCATTTAAATGATGCAAATAAATTGCCGACAATTTTGAAATTTCAGCGTGTTCAAGGAACTCTTTAAAATATTTTACTGTCCTAAAGTTCTTTTTGTTTGTAATGCGGTAACTCGATGAAGAAACCTGATAAATAAAGACGGTAAATCTACTTTAAAAAATGTTAAGTATCTCTACTGTCGGCTAGAATTTCCTCTGCTTTTCAGATTGTTTTTTTTTCCCTTTTATAAGAATGTACGGCCATTTGTGTAACGATTAAGCGATTTTTAAATAAGTGTGTGCTTGTTATTTTTTGTAATTATTATGAATTGTGATTCAGTTGTGAATTTGTAAGCGAAAATACCGCGAAATATAAGTGCTTTGCGTAAACTCTGCAACACAGTAAAATCGCAAATGATGGAGAACCCTGCTTAAGTCGAGGATTACTACTGATAGGATTTTTGATAACACAAAATTTGGAAAAGGATGTATACTCCTTTTTTACAAAAGGTTTGCGTACTATGTCATTCCAATCCATTTTCAGGTAAATAAGTTGAAGAATGTTTTCAAAATCTTTTGCATTTTCATGTATAACTACATATCTGTCGTATTCTCAAGTTTTGTAGCTTCTTTAAATTGCTGGCAGTGTGTCACCCTTTTATCTACAATATTTACAGGATATATGGTATTTTTTTATTCGAACGAACGAAAGTGGGTAAAGAAGTATACAATAGGCTCTACGAAGATGTCCAGATTTTTTGACAAAACAAAATAACTCCCAGGATTTTAATGTATTCATCAATTCTTTATTGTTTACATAGATAAAATTGAATTAACGTATAGTTTTAATATGCCTTAAAGACGTTAATGGTGATATGTCTAACAAGCTCTAGATCTATGATAGACTTTTTTCTTAACTTTTTCAATCGTAAACTTCACTTACATATGCAGCAATATGCCTCTTTTACATATATCTGCATACGGAGTTGATCTCTCTAAGTTGATAAGATACCTAAAAGCATGCTCTACATATGTATATATTCTAAAATGAGATAAGTAATTGACAAACAAGTTGATTAAATAAGATTATTCAGCAGTCTTATTCAAAGTCATTATTTAGTTACTTCTATGGTCGATACAATATCCTGGTAAGAAATTACAATTTATCGTTGAGTCAAATGATGGTGACGTCTATTGATACACTGAACTGCCAACGGATTTTCCAGTTATTTCCCGACCATGATACAGTGCAGGGAACTAATTTTGTTACATAAACCAGCATCAGGATCAGCATAAGTAGGATCAGGATATAACTAGCATCAGCATCAGCATTTAAAAAAACAGTATTACTTGGATCCGCATCAGCATGCAAAGGAAAGAACTAGCATTGACCAAAGTAAATACAGATAAAGGAAAGTCATTTAACACAAGTTACAAATAAAATTACCCCTAAAACTATTTTAATGGCTTAAAATAGCGATGCTGTTTTTGAATTATTCACTTCCGGCGAGATAATCCTACTCCTGGTAGCATTACTAGCATTGACCTAATTCTTAGTTTCAAACCAACATCAGGATAAGGATCAAACCAGGATCAGGATAAGGATAACTAGCATCAAAATCAGCAAGCAAAGGAAGCATCAAAATCAGCAAGCATAGGAAGCACCAAAATCAGCATTGATGCTGTAACAAAATTATTTTAGGAGCTCGAGAACACGACTACTTTGACCGGTCGGCTGGAGATGCTCCCTCCTCCATGGCACATGAAACCATTTCCAATATTTTTAGGTCCATGTTCGTTCTCCAATTTTGTATTGTTTTATGTACTTTGATATTGAATACTGTTTGTCATCTATATATTATCCTTCACCTGTCAATAAACATGCACAAGAAATGACTGTCCGTTATTATCAAAGATAATAAGAGACACATTTTTTAAAACATGAAAAGACTTAAAAATATGCCAGTCTTTATTTTCACAATTATAATATCATCTGATCCGTTTTCTTTGATACACTTATTAATCTCACATTTTTGTTAGTATAGATAGGCGTTCAAGGATCAAATACCAGATTTTGCTCAATAATCGCTCTTTGGTGTCCTCCGAATTCTATGCAATGTTCGTCATTAGAGATTCTCAATATTGACACAAGGGATACAAAAAAAAGAACCAGTCAATCAGTTTCATGACATTGAAATGAAATCGCCAGAAGAGATGACATTTCCTCCTCAATCAGAAAAGTAAATTATATAACCATCGACCACTTAAATATTGCACATTTATCTGCTTTGGAACCTGATAAATTCTTGGTCAGTGATGACTGGGGAAACCTTATTCAGTCTGACATGAAAGGAAACATCTTATGGAAAAAATCAACTAATATTTCGGGTATTCGAGGTAGTCATTCGGTCACAACAGAAGGACAACTTCTTTACACATATTTCAATATTAATGCCATATATGTCTCCCAACAAACTAGGAATCGGAACAAGGAAATGGAAAATGGAGCAATTTACTCCTCTTATATCAATGAATACGTATTGGTGGGGATGGAGAAAAAGAATTTCATGGAGGTGACTGAAAAAATAGTCAGATTTAGCAAAGGATGGGTGAAGCTACAAAATATCAATTTGAATGATAAAAGACAAATTTTTTATCTAATTGCATGTTTTATCACAGAGAATATAAACGGTGACATTTGTACCTCTGACTACCTTGCCAGTAAGGTTGTGGTGGTGACAGGGACAGAAGAGTACCGGTTCTCTTACTCTGGTCACCAGGGTCAGATCGGATTCCGTCCCTGTGGAATCTGTACAGATGTCCAGGGACATATTGTGGTGTGTAATGGCTATGAAGATTTTAGTCACCAGTGCTCTAGTGTTCACCTGCTAGACATGGATGGTCAATTTCTATCTTTCCTTCACACCACCGGATGTCCGCCATTTCCCAGTGCTCTCTGTATCAACCATCATCAAATTCTGATCGTGAGTTTAGCCAGTCCAACCGTTAAAGTGTATTTACACTGCAAATAAGAATAAAATTCTACGTACTGCAATGCTTCAATAATCATAATATCGTGTTTCACTTGCAGGTTTTATTTTGTTCAGCGATATTTTTTGTATATGTATATTTCAAAAAAGTATATTTTTTATAAACGTTAAATCAACCGAAAAGATAAACTGTTTTTTTTATCTTCATAGTCAATAAATTGAGATATTTCATATTCCAGCACCTACGTTTTAGTAACAGATATCTTTATGTTCTGAATTGGTTGTCTTAAAAAATTTCTTACTACTTTCCTTTTTAAAACAATAATAATAATGGTCTAGCTATATAGGGGCCTGTATTAAAATTAGAGCTCCACAAAAATGGGGAAGAACACAGTAATTTGGCAAAGGGAAAAAGATATCCTAATTTTGTTTATTCTGAGCATGACATATTAATGAGGTTCGGTCTTGTTTTAGGTAGGCATAAATGATAAGTGCAAAACTGATCAACACATCACAGTGCATCATTAAGGGCTACCTGATATTTACATTATATAAATTGCATTCTAGAAGAACTTGGATTTAATTCTACAAGTGGTAATCCTACTTATACATATTCTTCTCTATCTAAGGAAGAAATTCTTCAGAATCACCTGTCAGTTTTGAATACTTTTAATATTCCACAGAGCCAAAATGAATTTGAACTACCTTATATATATTGGATTCCGAAACTTCATAAGAGTCCTTACAAACAAATATACATTGCAGGTTCCAGTAAATGTTCAACCAAGCCTCTTTCGTTACTTCTCACTAAAATATTGACACTAGTGAAGGAAAAACTTCAAGAGTACTGTACAACTATATATCCAAGAACTGGTGTAAATCAGATGTGGATACTTAAAAATTCTAAAGAACTTTTGGACAATTTGAAATCACAAGACTTTACAAAAATCAACAGCATAAAAAGTTACGACTTTTCAACTTTATACACAACAATTCCCCACGACAAATTAAAATCCAGGCTTTTTGATATCATTGACAGCTGCTTCTTCAACAAAAATGGAACTCGTAAGTTTACTTACCTCTTCATTGGTCATTTGAAAAATTATTTTGTTAAAACAGATTCTGATTGCACACATAAGTACTCTGAAGTTGACATCAAGAAGATGCTTGAGTTTCTGATCGACAATATCTATGTGGTTTTTGGAGACCAGGTATTCCAACAATCTATTGGAATTCCCATGGGTACAAATTGCGCTCCGTTATTAGCAGACTTATTTTTATATTCATATGAAGCAGAATTTATGCAAAATCTTTTACGTGAAAAGAAGAAAACACTTGCTGTGGCCTTCAACTCGACATTTAGATATATCGACGACGTATTGTCAATTAATAATGATAATTTCCATTCATACGTCGACACGATATATCCTGGTGAGCTTGAGATAAAAGATACCACAGAGTCCGACACTTCTGCTTCATACTTGGATATTTTACTTGAAAAAGACACTAATGGTAATATAACAACTAAGCTTTATGACAAACGTGATGATTTTATATTTTCTGTCGTCAACTTCCATTACTTATGCAGCAGTATACCTTCATCACCTGCATACGGAGTATTTATATCTCAGTTGATTCGATATGCAAGAGCATGCTCTGCGTATGAACAGTTTCTTAAACGAGGTAAATTATTGACAAGCAAGTTGATGAAACAAGAATATCAACAGTCTCGTTTAAAGTCATCATTTCGTAAATTCTATGGTCGATACAATGACCTTGTCAGCAAATACAATTTATCATTGAATGGAATGCTGAATGACGTTTTTCATACCAATTGTTTTTTTTTTTTTTTTTTTTTCAAAATCATTTATTCAATAATGTACAATATAACAAGGAGGCAAAACTTCCGCAGAAGCCCTCTAGTAATACCACACCAGGGGTGCCATGAGCTCCCTGGATCGATATAATATTATATAATGTATCTCCAATATTTGAAAACAGAATTTTTTCATATTATACTTATATATATTATTATTGACGTTTCATTTTCTTACATGTACATATACTTAAACATCTCAAGCAAATTGGAACCATTTTCATATTGCTATTAAAGTCTACCATTATACTATTATATGATTATTGACTTCATTTTCGTACATATACATAAATATCTCAAAGCATATTTAAGCATTTTTTTTATATATAATAACAAATTATACGTTTAACACAAACCGAGAATGACCCTTGTTGCAGTGGAGATTGTGTGGAGAAAAAAAAGAAAAAAAGTCTATATCAATCTCACTGTAACTAGTATTTAGGGCCAGGTCACCCTCAAATACGGGTCTTTTTATGTTTTACAGCTAATAAACAATATGTAGAGATTTGTGATAATAAAATTAGATTGTAAAAAAAAAAAACATATCACAATGAATGTATTGTACAAAGACATGAATATTTTTTCCTCACATACATGTATATAGTTTGATCTGGCTTTACATCTTCATTTTATGATATTCATCTTGAACATACTTTAAACATAAAGTTTCCAATTACATGAAAAATGACATGGTAAAAAAAAAAATTAAAAAAAAAAAAAAATTGTGTGCCTTATAGTAGATTAAAAAATGTGAATACATGTACTATTATATACATGTTTATAGTTTATCACGGCATGGGATACTGCCATTTACAGAATTAATACTGTCATTAGTACTATACCTAGTATAAGAGGGAATTTTGAAACATATGATTTATTTTCATTTTGAAATTTGTCAAATCATGTGATTGTAATAGTAAAAAATTCGATTTCATTTCATTTTTGAATGCATTTTTAATACTGAAGTCAGTTATTTTTATATTCTCATATTTAATTTTATTTCTTGTTTTCCATATGACCCATTTAAAGATACATATTAAGATGTTAACAACGGTTCTTTGGGTTTGCGGTTCCTTCAAGTATCCTAATATTATTGTTTGTTGGTCAATTTGTAAAGTTCCATTTATTTGTAGCACATTTTTAATTATATCTTCTAGTAATTTGAGTGTTGGTTTCACTTTTGTGCAATGGTAAAAGAGGTGTTGTTGATTTTCTCTATGATTTTTACACAAGTTGCATAAACCATTGGATAGTCCGATTTTACATAATTTATCTTCGATGTACAAAATATTATGCACGCATTTCCATTGGAATTCTTGAATTTTATTTTTAACTTTCAATTTTGAAATACTGTCCCAAACTAAGTTCCACTGTATGTTATTTTGACATATATTTTCCCATTTTTCTTGACATTTTGGAATTAGTGTCTTGTTTAATAGTGTTTCTATGTCCTTTAACTTAATATCTTCATATGTTACCACATTATTCGTATCTCTTTTTATGAGTAAATTATTATTCAATTTATAAGGGAGTTTTGTTTCGCTTTTAGGTATTGAGTTATTTCTTTTCAGTATTGAATAAAATAGTTTAGGAATGGCTGATTTTATTTTACTATATTCAAATATCCAACATCTTTTGTCTAATAATTTATTAAAAATGGTGTCATTATATTTAAAACAATTTTCCGCTTCATTCCAAATGTCTTTAATTTTTAATAAACCGCTTTTGATAAATGATTCCACATATAGGCCTTTCCCTCGGAATTGAATAAGTTTATTACCAAATAGTGAGAGGTTGAGTATTTCCTCTCGGTTCTCTGGTTCGAATTTTGACTGAAATTCGCTATATGCGATGAGTGCTTTTTTATAAAAACTAGACATGTTATTTAAGGAAATTGGAGATAAATCTGAACAAGTGCATAAAAAATATTCCTGATTTGAATGCATATCTTTACTCTGTAACCAGTATTTACCAATAGCATTCCATGTTTCTAACTTTGAATGCATGATTTTATAAATTGTTTTTATTTGTTTACTTTTTATAAAGTTAAAGATATTTATCATGTTCATCCCTCCTTCATTCTTGCCTAAGCAGCACACATTTCTGTCAATTTTATTCAATTTATTATCCCAAATAAAAGACCAGACAATATCATTTATTTGTTTTGCATATATATCAGGTATTCCCCTCATTTCGATTTCATAGCCAATAATTGGAATTATCAAATTTTTTATTATCAAAGTTTTCCCTTTGAATGTAAGGTTTCTAGTTTTCCAGACATGCAAGCTGTTCTTTATTTTTTCTATTTTTTCCAACCATATTGCATTAGTATCAATACCATATCCATGATTTACACCCAAAGTTTTTATATTAGTTTTTATCCACTGTATCTTTTTAAATTTTGGTGTTTTACCTTTTGATTTGCCTATAAACAGGCCCTTTGTTTTCGAGAAATTGATTTTTGCCCCAGAGGCTTTTTCATATATTTCTAACACATTGAAGGAATGTATTATAGATTCTTCGTCCTTATTAAAAAGTTGTGTATCGTCTGCGAACATATTTATCTTACATTCTATTTTTTCATCTTTGTTAGGAATTAAAATACCCTTTATCTGCGGATTTTGTCTAATAGCACAGGCCATAGGCTCTATTTGAAGAACATATAGCAATGGAGCAATAGGGCAGCCTTGTCTTGCCGATCTTGAGATTGGAAAGTATTTAGATACAAATCCATTAGTTTTAATGCATGTTTTTTTATTAATAAGAAGCATTTTTATCCAATCGCAATATTTTTTACCAAAGTTAAATCTTTTTAATGTTGCTTCTACCCAACCCCATTCAATTCTATCGAACGCTTTTTGTTGATCTAGAAATATAATTGCTCCTTCTAAATCTTCATTATCAGCATAATCAATAATATCTTGAATCAGTCTATTTGCATCACTTATGTTTCTGCCTTTAACAAATCCTTTTTGGTCTGGGTGAATTAATTTCGGTAGAACTTTTTTTAATCTCTCGGCGAGTATTTTAGCTATAATTTTATAATCATTGTTCAGCATTGTTAAAGGTCTCCAGTTTTTTATATCTTCTCTTTCATTCCCTTTATGTATTAATGAGATGACTCCTTTTGTTTGCGAGTCACAAAGTGTAGCCTTATGAAAAATGTGTTTTATAACTTTTGAAAATTCAGTTTTAATTATATCCCAGTATATCTGATAAAAAGTTGATAAAATCCCGTCTTCACCGGGAGATTTATTTGGCTTTAATGACATCACTGCTAGATATATTTCTTGATCGCTTATATCACTATCGAGCATGTTTACATCATAATCGTCTAATTTACATTGTACTTCCGCTAATAATAGTTCCCCACTTTCACTATCCCAACCTTCCGTATTTAGTAATTTGTAATAAAAATTAATTTGCTCTTCGATGATTGAATCAATGTCAGTTTTATAGGTACCATTTTCTGTTTTTATTCTATTCCACAATTTTTTCTCTCCATTACTCTTTTCTAATTGAAAGAAATATTTCGAAGGAGCTTCTCCTTCTTTAAACCATCTACATTTTGATCGTATTATTGCCGCTTCTGTCTTATCTATATAAATTTCTTTTATTTTTTGCTCAAGGTCATTTTGATACTTTTTATTTGTCATAGGATTGTTTTTAATTTCTTCTAATTCTTTTTCTAATTTCTCTAGTTTTTGTTTATTAACATTTAATTTTTTTGACATCTCAATACACAACGTTTTTATCTTATATTTAGTTAAGTCCCACCAGTATAGAATATCCTGACAGTTAACTAAGCTTTTCTTGTAATTTTCCCAGAATTCAACAAATGTTTTTCGGAAGTCGTCGTTTGTTAATGTTTTATGATTCATTGTCCATAACCCAATACCAATTGTTAGTCCATTATTTATACACTGAATTGACCACGGATTTTTTCCGTTATGTCCTGATTATGACAACGAGCACACGGCGGGTGTGACCGGTCGGCAGGGGATGCTCACTCCTCCATGGCACCTGATCCCACCTCTGATGTTTCGGAGGTCCGTGTTTGCTCTGCACTTATTTTGTATATTTGTTTAATGGACGTTGAGATTGAATACTGTTCGTTATTTCCATATCCTTCTGATAGGTACTCTTGGAAACCTTATATTGTAAAAAAGGCATTGTTGGATTTGTCCTATCTTTTATTTATAATTACCTTGACATGCCATGTAAAATTGACTGATGGGGAGATGAGATATTTGCTATCCCTTATCTCACCAGAAATAGCACAATCTATCATTTTCTTGTGGTCTCGCTGAATCCTGATGGTGTGCGCCAAACCAAAAAGTGTTTTGTCGGTACAAACGCCAATGCCAGATCGATCGTTTCTTATGAGATGCGCTGCACTAAAATTGATGATCTGAAAGGCCAAAGGTCGATGGTGAGGAGAAACAATCAACGTATTTAATTATCAAAATATCTAAGATGTCTGAGATTACAAGTGACAGATATATATATGCGTATGTGATGTGTATTTTATCATTGAAACAATAACTTATAGAACACAGATCTTTAGAAGATAAACATATTTAAATACAAAAATTATTGTTTTTGGTAAATAATGAACCTTTTGTACGCCTATCTTTCCATTATTTGAAAACAGTTTATCTTTATTCCATAATATTATGGTTCTTTTATTCTCTTTAAATTCTGTTCAATATACAAAGAATTAACATTTAAATGTTTTGTTGGCAGAGGTAGCAGATGTAAACTGCATAAAACCTGAAGAAACATACATTATTTGTGGCTGGTACTAATCATGACTGGAATGGCATTGTGATAAGATTTATTAATCGGAGAAGAAGGTAATGGCTTCAATGCATTTCTTTTAAATTTTGATTTTAGTGTATACTAGAAAGTATTTCCGCTTATAAATGTCTTCCTTACACTATGGTTTATGTTAAAACTTTATTTTCAAGTTTGTTTTGATTACCAATAATGGACCAAGTACCGGATACAGCCCAGCACTTTATCGAGTGTGACACAGAATCATGTAGGGATTTTTCTGCGTTTTATTGTAATACCTGTTATCAGAAAATCTGCTGTCAATGCGAACAGTTTCATTTAGATCAAAACAATGGACACGATATTGTCCATTATCATGAGAAAAAAAGAAAACTTCCTTTAGAAAAATGTATGATCCACCCCACAAATGACATTAATGTACACTGTGACGTGTGCCAGGATCCCCTTTGTTATATGTGCTTTGCCCAACATCACAGTGATCATGATTTCAGTGACCTTGAATCAATTTACAATGACATTCTACAGCAATGTCAGAAGGAAGTTACTCATATTTGGGAAAGAGAAATCCCTAGAGCTAGAGATTATGCTGCCTTACTTGAGAAAAAGAAAGAAAATGTTAAGAAAGAAATTGCTAAGTTTAGAGTTTCCATGAAGGAAAGAGCAGATGAACTAAAGAGTGCTATTGACAGTACACTAATTGATAAAAATAAAGAACTGACTGAAATAGAGAACTCTATGATATCTGATACAGTAGAACAATTGAAGGAAACAAAGGAATATATAAATTACCTGGAAAAATTGATTACAGATTGCGAGAGTAAAATGTTTTCAATCAAACCCACTGAACTCATGGATCTCCATAAAGATATTTCTCTAGCCACCCTAAAAAGACCTAGCGAAACTGAACCAAAACTACAGTTGTTCACACTATGCACACTAAATAAAGAAGAAATAGTCAAACAACTAGAAATAGGAAAAAAAGACGTAGATTCGTCTGAAAAGTTGTTTGACCCTTCGTCTGTCAAAAAGATACATGAAGTACCAACCGCGGCATATAGAATTTACCATTTGTCCCCCTCGCCCCCAGATAAATTTTGGGTCATCGATGGCTTTGGAAATCTAACTCAGTCTGACATGAAAGGAAAAATCTTATCAAGGGGGATTTCGACAAGCTTATGGTACATGTATATCATAGGGAACCACACAGTCACAAGAGAGGGAAAGCTTCTTTACACTGATTATGGTAAAAACTCCGTCTATAGGGTAACTGGTGAGAAGACCATCAACAAACTAATTGACACATGGACCTGGGGTCCTGGAGCGATCTACTCTTCTCCCATCAATGGACACCTTTTAGTTGGGATGGAGCTAAATTCTGACTGGAAAATAACCAGGTACAACAGCGAAGGAAGGAAATTATTGGAAATACAACATGTTCAAGAGGATAAAAAAGTACAAACTCTCTACCAAAGAGATGATAAAAGACAGACTCTTTATCAAAGCGTTTACTTCATCACAGAGAACATGAATGGCGACATTTGTGTATCTGACTTTAAAGCCAAAAAGGTGGTAGGGGTGACCAGATCAGGTCATTTTAAGTTCTCTTACTCTGGTCACGACCCTCAGTTCGAATTCTGTCCCTATGGCGTCTGTACAGATGTTCTTGGGCATATTTTGGTGTGTAGTAGCTATTATAGACTTGATAAAAGTTACTCAAGTGTCCACTTGCTGGATAGTAATGGAGAGTTCATAACTCTATTGCTCGAACCGGAAAATTGTCCTTTATTGTCCTGCGCTCTTTGTATTGACGACAAACACAATTTCTTGGTTGGGGGAAGAGATAGTTCTTCTGTCTATGTGTATAAGTATTTGCAAAATATGGAAAAATGATATGTTATCTATTGAATTGGTCATGTTTGATCAGTTTATGTTACAACACTTGCTGGCTTGAACTCATTTCAAACACAGCAATAAAACGATTGTATTTCTGTTACTGATTTGTTTACCCACCCTAACAAAAAATACTATAGTTAACTATGGTTAACTATAGTTAACTATAGTTTACTATAGTTAACTATAGTAAATCAAAGTGTCAAAGTTTTTGCCAAAGTTTTTCAAAGTGTCAAAGTTTTCGCCAAAGTTTTTCAAAGTGTCATAGTTTTCACCAAAGTTTTTCTAAGTGTCAAAGTTTTCGCCAAAGTTTTTCAAAGTGTCAAAGTTTTCGTCAAAGTTTTTCAAAGTGTCAAAGTTTTCGTCAAAGTTTTTCAAAGTATCAAAGTGTTCGCCAAAGTTTTTCAAAATTTTCGTCAAAGTTTTTCAAAGTCTCAAAGTTTTCGCCAAAGTTTTTCAAACTGTCAAGGTTTTCGTCAAAGTTTTTCAAAGTGTCAAAGTTTTCACCAAAATTTTTCAAAGTGTCAAAGTTTTCGCCAAAGTTTTCGCCAAAGTTCTTCAAAGTACTGTATCTGAATTTTTCAAAGTATCCAAGTTTTCGATTAAGTTTTACAAAGTATTAGAGACTGCGATAATGTGTTTCAAAGAGTCAAAGTTTTCGACAAAATTTTGCAAAGAATAAAAGTTTTTGATAAAGTTTTTTAAATTGTCAAAGTTTTTAATAAACTTTTTCAAAGTTTTAAAGCATCCACGATTTTGATAAAATTTTTCGAAGAATCCATGTTCGATTAAGTTTTTCGAATTATCCAAAATTTCGATTACGTTTTTCGAAGTATCATAGTTTTCGCCAAAGTTTTTCAAAGTGTCAAAGTTTTCGCCAAAGTTTTTCAAAGTGTCAAAGTTTCGCCAAAGTTTTTCAAAGTGTCAAAGTTTTCGCCAAAGTTTTCGAAAGTATCAAAGTTTTCGTAAAAGTTTTTCAATGTGTCCAAGTTTTCGCCAAAGTTTTTCAAAGTGTCAAAGTTTTCGCCAAAGTTTTTCAAAGTATATATCAAAGTTTTCGTCAAAGTTTTTCAAAGTGTCATAGTTTTCGCCAAAGTTTTTCAAAGTGTCAAAATTTTCGCCAAAGTTTTTCAAAGTGTCAAAGTTTTCGCCAAAGTTTTTCAAAGTGTCAAAGTTTTCGCCAAAGTTTTTCAAAGTGTCAAAGTTTTCGCCATAGTTTTTCAAAGTGTCAAAGTTATCACTATAGTAAATCAAAGTTTTCAAAGTGTCAAAGTTATCAATATAGTTAACTATAGTAAATTATAGTTAACTATAGTATTTTTTTGTTAGAGCAAGTATGACTGTTATACACTACGTTATTTGGCATATCAATCACTTTTGTTTAAAGGGGAAAAAGTTAATAGATGATTAAGATGATTTTGAAGTCATATTAGTGAGTTGCTTCAGAATTATTAATAAAACCCAAGGTATCAATATGTATCAATAGGTATCAATATGTACTTCCTTATTTATATATCATATTTCATGCTTTTCTTTAAATGTACATCGATTTCATCTTATCCGATGAAGTATAAAGCTTAATTTCGACATAATGAATTTCAGGATCTATATAAAAACATTCATAATAAATACACAGGTCGAAATGTCCACAAAGAGATGCGATTCATTTTGAATATGCATGAATTGTTACATGTGTGTGTATTTATAATATATTTACATAAACATTATTTGGATTGCTGTTTTTAAATAAAAGATACTTTAGATTTTTATCTCTCTTACCTCATTACAAAGGCGATTTTACTCCGTACATGCAGTTTACAGTAGCCCAATGGTTTATGTCAGAATTTGAGATTTTTTCACCAATTCTATACAGTTAATTATTTGACCTTCATACTTGGATATTTTACTTGAAAAAGACACAAATGGTAATCTAACAACCAAGCTATATGATAAACGTGATGACTTTAACTTTTCTATCGTCAACTTCCCTTACTTATGCAGCAATATACCTTCATCACCAGCATACGGAGTATTTATATCTCAGTTGATTCGATACGCAAGAGCATGCTCTACGTATGAACAATTTCTTAAACGAGGTAAATTATTGACAAGCAAGTTGATGAAACAAGAATATCAACAGTCTCGTTTAAAGTCATCATTTCGTAAATTCTATGGTCGATACAATGACCTTGTCAGCAAATACAATTTATCATTGAATGAAATGCTGACTGACGTTTTTCATACCAATTGTTAGTCCATTATTTATACACTGAATTGACTACGGATTTTTTCCGTTATTTCCTGATTATGACAATGAGCACACGGCGGGTGTGACCGGTCAGCAGGGGATGCTCACTCCTCCATGGCACCTGATCCCACCTCTGATGTTTCGGAGGTCCGTGTTTGCTCTGCTCTTGTTTTGTATATTTGTTTAATGGACGTTGAGATTGAATACTGTTCGTTATTTCCATATCCTTACTTTAATTGATAATTTGTTTACCGGTAATTAATGCACTTTATTTTGTGATTTTTCTTTGAATTTGTTTTAATATAATGTAATTATGCTTCATCTGAATACGTTCAACATAGAAACCAGTGTCTTTCATCAAAGTAAATCCCAACTATTTTGAGTGAAGAACCTGAGCTATATGAGTACCACTATGCACTGATACTTGGTGATTTTCGTGGGGACAATAACAACAGGGTTTCAATGGGGAGTTTACTAAAGAGAAAACAGTCGAATTCATTTAACTTTTTCTATGTCTAGAATATGGCTAGGTCTTCTCTGGTCAATTTCCTTGACGATGGACATAAATAGCACAGGCTTTTTAATGGCATTTTTGCTTTGCAATTTAACTTATATTTTTGAATAAATGGGAAAAAAAACCCATACCGTACCTGTTATTAAATTGACCTTTAGAAATTGGGGGAGGATAATATGTATGCAGTTTGTTTTATGCATTTAATTAGTACAAGGCAGTCTATTATGAAAGCAACTTGTCGTATGTCTGATGATGTTAATTTTATTGTGAGTGTCAAAATTAGATTAAAATAAATATTTACCTAATATCTCTCTAGCCTCCTGCAGTGCTATATGAAGGGGCGTGGAAAGTATTATCGCATATGTGATATGGAATATATCACCATAGAAAGATCGAAGAAAATCACCGCTTTAATGTGATAATTATGCATTGTACATATTATGAGTTCATCAAATCTTTTTTTATGTACAGAACATGGCTAAGTTATTGATTAAGTATACATATGGCATTTAAAGTTGAGTTACTTGATGGAGTATACAAATACAGTAACTGTTTTATTTGGAAGCACTGAAGAATTATCTGAATAGTGTTCTCATTTTGTTGTTTTACTTTAAAGCTTTCTGCTTTTTTGTTACTATCTAGTAATAATACGTAGAAGTCTACTTTGTTTATCAATAAATTCTGATTTGAAATAAATTGTGATTGTTATTGAATGAAAGCTCTTTTGAAAGCTCAGCGCAGTGAAACATCACTTTACTTATCATGTTGACTAAAACATAAATCGCACTTCATTCAAACACAACCCATTCAAGAACTCCCGAGTCCGGGTATTGTATGCAATGATAGGATATTTTTACACATGCGCTGATACGGATCTGCGGGGCTGTTACGGGTCGATATCACGTTCTTAGTAATTTAAGAATTTGAGATCAGGTGCCATAGAGGAGTGAACATCCTCTGCTGACAGGTCACACCTACCTTGTGGTCTACATTGTGATCGGTAAATAACGGAAATCAGTGCATTTGACTCAATGATAAATTGTGTTTGCTGACACGGCCATTGTATAGACTGTAGAACTTGTAAAACAACGACTTAAAAAGAGCCTGCAGATATTCCTGTTTCATCAGTTTGTTTATACTTTACCTCGTTTTAGAAAATTGTTTATACGACGTAGAAATAAAGTTTCTCAATGCAATATTTACATTGTACATGTACGGCACCGCGGGCGGGCCAGGTAAAAAATAACATTTTTATTTGTTCGGACGAATTAGTTATTTGTTCGGACAAATTAGTTATTTGTTTGGACGAATTAGATACTCGTTCGGACAAATTAAAAATTCGTAAGGATGAATTAGAAATTCGTTCAGACGAATAAAATATTCGTTCTGACGTATTAGGAATTTGTTCGGAAAAATAGGATATTTGTTCGGACAGCTGTTCGGATAAATTAGCTATCTGTCCGGACGTATTAGAAATTTGTTTGGACAAATTAGTTATTTGTTCGGACGAATTAGTTATTCGTTGGGACAAATTAGTTATTGGTTTGGACGAATTAGTTATTCGTTCGGACATATTAGAAATTCGTTCGGATGACATCTAAATTTACCGACTCGCAAATCATAGAAACAACCTGGGATCAATACAGACTGGATCGTTTTTGGTAAGTCTTCTCAATTCACAAACAGGAATATTTAATCAAAAAGTCAATGAGGATCTTTTTTTTTTCATTTTATACACCGCATATGTACCAGATTGATTCATTGAATGTTTTACGCCGAGTCAGCAATATTTCAGCAATATATGTTGCAACCACTATTGAAATAACGACCTCTATTGAAATAATTATATCAATAGTGGTTGAGAGTGCATTTCAATAGCAAACGTAGTGTGTAACCACTATTGAAATACGACTACAATTGAAATAATTATTACAGTAGTGGGTGAGCGTGTATATCAATAACAAACATAGGTAATAACCACTATTGAAATACGACCGCTATTGAAAAAAATTACTTCAATGGTGGGTGAGAGTACATTTCAATATGATGACCATAGGTTTCAACCACTTTTGAAATACGGTCAGTATAGAAAGTAAAGTTTCAACGCTTTTTTTATTTTTTATCCAAAATTTCACAAAAATTGGATTTGGGGTGAAAAATATATAGATTAATAATTTAAGTGCATAAAATAATTAGGGTTGTTTTAGTGAGACAAAATTTATTTATGTTGTAGAAATT